AAACAAAAACAAAAACAAAAAACTGAGTCTTCTCCTTTGCCATAGCTACTGCCAACCTCACCCTCACCCCTACCTACTTTCAGTTTTCATTTCCTTCAACTGTCATGCTCTTTAGTACCCTGGAGCTTTTAGACATGAATGACCTGGAAACCTTCCCTAACCTCTGTTCATGCCTGATTCTCCCAGTCTTCCATGAATTCATTTGTTTTCAAAGATAATATTCTCCTCTCTCAGGAAAAAAAAAAAAAAAACCGTGTTCCCGTCCGATTAACTGAGGTCTGCAGGGCGGATGGTCTTCCCTGTTCTGGCCCGCCTTCCAGAAGTGAGAGTGAGAAGGCGGGTCCTGGGGGAGCCCGGCTCTCAGTCCCCTGATCGCTTGTGACCCGGCAAACTGCTCTCCGGCCTCGGTCTGCTGCTCTGTTGGCGACTCCTCTGCAGGTGCTGGAAAGGGCACCACAGTGCCTGGCACACGACCAACAGCAGTCACCACCACGCTCCTGCGCCCACCACCCGAAAGCGGCTAGGACGGCACAAGGGGCGCCCCAGGCCAAGAGGGCCGGGAAGCTGCGGCGGGCTGGCGGGCGGACCTGGAATCGCGATCCACTGTTCAAGAGGGCGCCGGAGGCTGGGCTCCACGGCAACGCCGGGACCCAGGAGGGGAGGGAGGCCCCGGCCAGTCTCTGACCTTCATCTCCCGCTCGGGGATCATGACATCCATCTCGTCTCCCATCGCGCGGCCCTGTTCGTCGAAGCAGCCGCCGCCGCCGTCCGCGGCCTTCCGCTCCAGGCCGCTCGGAAGCCAACTTCCTTCCCTCAGCGCCAGAGGCGCGCGGCGGAATGCGAACTTCCGGCGCGCGTTGGTGACGTCAATGTTGGATTCCAGGGAAGCCGCGCGCTCGCCGCCCGGGCCCTCATTGGCCAACGGGAGCCGACGAGGGGCGTGGCCGTGACCCCGCGCGCCTGCGCCCTGGACCTCTCCCTGCCCCGCGTGCGCAGCCTGCACCGGCTCATTTCATTTATTGGCGGCGTGTGCCTCTGCGGTACAAGCTTATTCCCTGGAAACCTTATAGTAACCCTTACCTGCGGGTGGCTGTTCTTAGCTTCCGATCCAGAGTTAGGAACTTTATAGATATTTCCAGGGGACAGCTTTTAAGGGCTTGGGCTTTGAGGGAAGGAAACAGATAAGTTCAAAGTGAGTAGACTAGGGCCTCCCCACAGGTGACCTTATCTGTCTAATGACAAAAGCCAAAAATGGGGAGGGTAAAGGACACCGAAGACCAGCTTTGTTTACTCCTGTCAAGGTAATCATTTCCAGAGTAAAAGCCATATCCACTTCTGGTCACTAAAGAATTTGTGCTGAGTTTTGCAGAAAATAGATGGCATGTTGTTTAACCTTCAAGGCCTCCTAGTCACCTAGGGGGTTTATTAACATTTTATTGATGAAATCGGGGAAGTTAAGAAAATTCTCCTGTGGCCCTCAGCCAGAGTTCAGATGGAAGAATGGGCTGATAGTACAGTCCTACCTAGAAGAGATTTCTGTTGCAGAATTATAAATGTTCTAGGGCAGAGGTTCTTAACTTGCAAGTTGAGTCAGCTGGGGGAGCAGGGACATTCTGCTGAAAAACCAGCCTCTACCTCAGATCAAAGCCTGTCCAAGGAAGGGACATGACCTTTGTCCTTGGAAAGACCCACAGAGCACTCCTAGGCACATTCCCACCCTGCTAAGTTGTTTATCTACAAATAACAGGAGAGATCTGCTAAAACTAGGTGTCCCTGACTCAGTCAGGCTAGGTGGGGACCCATAGCAACCCCCTAGCAGCCACCAATCAGCATGAGATAGGGAAATACCTGGGATGCCAGATGACCCTCCCAGTAGTTTATGGTGTTGGGAAACCACGTAGTTCAGCACGAACACCCCTCTTGGCTTAAACCAGTCAGTTCAAACGAATCCCCCTCTTGTAGTAACTAATCACCCCTACCCAACTTGTTCCCACCAGGGAATGTGCTAATCATGTTTTAGAGTTGTTATTTGATTTTCCTGCGGTGTGTGATGATTTGCTAAGAGATGCTATGATGTATGTGGGGGTCCCTGCCTTCTCCAAAGAATGTATAAAACTGCTGCAAACCCTGGGCTCAGGGCCTCTCAGCGTTACCAGTTGCTATGTGCGCATGGAGGACCGAGCTAGTTCGCGATAAACACCTCTTTGCTGCTTACATCGATCTTGGGTCTCTGGTGGTCTTTTGGGGGTCCCAAATTCGAGCATAACACTGCCACTCTGTTTGGTTAGGCTCCATGTATGCATGATAAGTTAAAAAATATATTCTATGTCATGTATAACTAAAAGGAAAAAATAAAAAACTTAAAAATCTGCTGCTGTATAAGCTAGTTCTGCATTTGCTGACCCTCATCCATCCCCAAGATACACCAAGAAAGCCACTGGTCAATTTGTCTGTTTTATTTCCAATCTGTACAGGTGATATATCCCCCACACGTACTTATACACACACATACATACACACAGCTTCATTCACCTGAACTTGTCTGACAAACTCCTTTTGAGTCATAGGGACAAAGCCATACTTAGCAGTCCCTGTGTTGCTGGTTACATTAGTTAAATTTGGTCTTTTTCAGAAAGAAGACAGTTAAAAGTCCCAAGAAGCTGAGCCCTTAGTCAGAGAAGAGTCTTGATGCCAACAGCCACAACCTGAAATACACACAAACCCCCTTCCCAGGGAGCAGTCTTAAGACCCTCTCTCCCAAGGGGTTGAGTTCCAGGAAGTGACTGATGGGACTTCCCCCCACGTGCATGCAGAGAACCCCTCTTCCCTGCATTTCCAGATTCTAGAGGTGCACCCTTTTCCTCTCCTCCCTTGAGGTTTCTGTAATCTCAGGAACCCACTGGAATAAACCTAGTTGGTTCTGTCTTCCTCTCAGAGAGGAACAGTCACACTAAATAGATGGGGAGTCAAGGAAGGCTTGCTCTTCCCCAAAGGTCCCAGTCTGTCCCAGAGAGAGGAGGAATGGGAGGGGTCAGGCAGTGGCTAATCTAATACCTCAGGAGAGGAAAAGGCAAGGTGGGGGTGGGGTAGGATCACATATTTACAGGGAGGAATGTTGCTGGGGTTTAAACTTCAACTAGTCCTGTGTATTTGAAGCAGCTCCTTAGGCTGAAGATCAGCCACTCATAGCCAAATTTTGCTCCTAAACTGGTTGAGACCAGAGGACTAACTCTCCTGGCCAAGTCTTCCTACCCTGCCTACTCTACTCCCTCAGGGTGCTGTAGGGGCAGCACCCTGGGCCCTTGATTATGGGCCTGTAAGGAGCCACAACTCCCAATCCTTTCCACCTTCCAATCCTTAAGGTTTTGCAAGACTCTTGCCCAGGCTTGGGCCAAGCTAGACACCTCAGGACTGCTGGGCAGTCACCCTCTTCCTAACATTCATCTCACTGTCATTGTCTGGGTTGGAGTTCCCCCTGGACTCTACATTCCATGAGTCTGTGCATTTATTGTGGGTTCTGAACTCCTAGCCTATAGCAAGTGTTTCATAAATATGTTTAGTGAGTGCATCTAAGTCCTGAGTGCACAGGGTAAAGGAACCCAGAACACATGGGGCCAAGTTTGAGGACTTCCTGCATGAGTTCTGAGAAGTAGGTCTCTGAGACTGGGCCAGGAAACTGCAGGGCAGGCAGAACTGCAGAGACAGACCTGCTCGATAGGTAAGACCCAACGCCGGCTCAGAGGCCCTGGGGAGTGCAAGTCCTGGCCCAGGGCCTTCAGAGCCAGTGAAGCCTTCCCGAAGTACTGACCTAGGAGATTGCCCCTTCCCACCCCTTCCCTGTTTTCAACAGTGAATAAGGCAGCCCAAGGCAGAGGTGAGGTGTGGACAGGGGTATCTGACCACCTGGACTCTGGTCCAGGCTCTTCCACCCCAGATTAACCCCCTGACTTTCGGCAAGGCACTTAACCCCTGTGGGCCCCCAGAAAGAAGACTGGCCTACAGGGTGGATCAGGGCCCTAAAATCCCATGAGTCTGTAAGAAAGGACCCAGGTGGCCTCAATTCAATCCCAAGCTCAAGGTTTTGAGCAAATTGGAAAGGGAGCATGAGTTAGACAGTGGACACAGCACGTGTCAGGTCCAAGTGGGAGGACTTAAAGCTTGTAGCAGGTGCTCAATAAATATCTGCTGAATGAATGAACACATGGTGTGAGGAAGGCGAGTGCAGAAGCAGTTGGGTCCAGCAGGCTTCCGTTAGAAAGGCCACCTCCTGGGCCTCAGCTCCTGGCTCACAGTGGTGCTTTTCTCCAGGGGCACTGACTCCTCATCCTCGCCCAAGCCCCTGGCCTCACCTTTGCCTCTGGAGCCTTCTACTGCCCTAGCAAGGGTCAGTGGGACTGCACCATCTCTCTGAGCTGCCTGTAAAGATGTGGCCAGGAAGCAAGGCTCCAGGGCTCCTTCTGGTCCCTTTTTAAGGGACTCAAATTGCCAAGCTCTTTTCCTCCCCACCATCCGTTCTGAGGATGAGCAGAAACAGGGACCAGGGTGGAGGTCAGCTGGGGCCACATGCTGGCCCACCAGGAGCTCTGGAGGCATGGAGCTGTCCAAGAAAGGCCAAAGGAGGTCCTGCAGCCTTGTTCCTACCCAGGGTCTCCCTCACCAGGGCCAGGTCTGGAGCCTGAACTCAGCTCAGACACATTCTGGAAGGATGGACGGCTTCACCTCCCAGAGTGGGGGACACAGGCTTCCGGCTGCCTGCCCTGTTTTTGGGTTTGTTGTCAGCCCTTCTGCAGGACGTGGGCAGGTGGGAAAAGGGAGGGATGGGGCCCAAGGCGAAGGACTCCCGACCCAGAACCCCTTTAAGGCAGATAATCTGTGCTTTACAAAGAGATGATGAAACAAACACACCACAAGGAACAAGCAAACGCACAAGACAGATCACAGGGATCGGGAAGGGCAGCGCGACAGGAGGGAGGAAGAGCAAGGTGGGAGGCAGGGGGTCCTCAGGGCAGGCTGGCGATGTCTCTCTCTGGAGGGGGGCCCACTGGCTTGGGGCTGCTCTCGTTGGCTTTTCCTTCAAACATCATGACTCTGGTTTGGACACGGAGGAAAGAATGAGAAAAACAAAACAACAGAATTAGGATCCCTTTCCTCATCCAGAAAAGTCTCCCCAGCCTTCATATCTGCAGAGTGCCCCCCAAATCTGTCCTCTGGGGGATCCTTATGAAAGCCCACACTGGCAACTGCTGGGCTCACAGCGGTAACTTGACCCCCCTGCCACACAGGCGGGGTGAGGCTCCAGCCTTCAGACTTCCAGGCCAAGCGCCCTCCACTGTCCTTGCTGTCTGAGCAAACTGGGGTCTTCAAAAGCCTAACCAAGCATGGGGAAGGGGTTCCAAATGGAACTTTTGGGGGGAACAGCCTGGATTTGAATACCAGCCTGCTGCTTCTCAGCTGAGCGACTTGAGCTAGGCCCTCAGCCTCTCTGGTCCTCAGCAACTGAACCAGGGGGTCATGAACTAACTACTGAGCCTCCTTGGTCTTTGGTGAACTCCTTCATAAAATGAGACAGGTATAGTGTACTTTCGTACTTTAGAAAAAAATGAATCTTACGTCATAAAAGCCAAGTAGGGTTCCTTTTCAGCTGTGACAAATGACAAGAAGACTCCAGGGAATTTCCCTAATACTCTTCAGTGGGGAAGAACATTCAGGGCATGAGTTCAGCCACCCTGTTAGCGGCTGGCCATGAGCAGGCGCTAGGCTGAAACCCTGTGTCATCCCACTAGCCCGAAGGACAGTGCGTTGAAGAAGATGCATATCATCCCATTTCACAGATGGAGAAACTGGGGCTCACTGACTAAGGTAACTCAATCAGGGTCATTCGGGCCACAAGTAGTAGCACCAGGATTCAAACTCTGCCTCTTTTTAGAACTGATTTCAATTCTGTTTTATGCTCACAACAACCCTCCCGGCGGCAGTAGGGTTGATTTATAAATGAGGAAACTGAGCCCAGGGAGTGCTGACAGACTCATCGCCAGTGTCAGCAATTTGACAGGCAGGGATATGAGGCTCAGAAAAATCAAGTCCCCACCACTGGCCAGGGAATGGCTGTGCCTTCAGAGGCCCACAGGGAGGTACTCACAGCTTGAGGACAGCTGACCGTTTCCCCAGCATCATATTCACAAAGTCTCGGTAGGAGATGGTGTCACTGACTCCACCTGTCACCTCCGAGATCATCTTCTTCATCTCCAGGTGGGTCTTGGGGACCCCAAGCTTCTCCATCATCCTCTTTAAAGACATCAGGTCTGCCGGAGGAAAAGCAGGTCCACTCAGTGCAGACAGGCGGCTGAGGCTGAGCTCAGAAGCCATGGAGGCTCCACTCCTGCACCCCAGATGCTTGGCGGAAGATCAGCCGAGTGTTCCTCCTCGATGGGGGACAGGCCCATCACAGGCCCAGTGCTACAAACCTGGGCTTTTGGAGTGGGACTCCGGGAGGGATAGAGCTCTGCCATCCTTGGCTGCGGGACCGGGGCAGACCATTTAGCTTAAACCCTGCTTCATCAGCGGCAGAATGGGTTGCTGGGGTCATTCAGAGGCATGATGCCTGGAAAGCTCTGGCTCAGACCAGGTGCTCAGTAATGGAGCCATTGAACTTCACACTATTATAGTGATCTCTGCTGTCCCCTGTGGTTAGAGTGAGCCCCGGTGCCCGCCCTCCTGCTACCCAGAGAGTTACTGCCCGGTGGGAGTGGGGAGGTCAGGGAGTGGGCCTGGGCCCAGGCATTCAAAGTCAGCCTCTTGGGCACAGCCTTGTCAGGTGACTAATTGCCACCTGCCACTCCCACCACACTGTCCTCAAGTCGGCCTCAGCTGGAAGGGGGAGAGAGCCAAAAATATCCCTCAGAGCAGGAAAAGCAACAAAAGAATAAAATTCAAGAAAAACAAGGGAGGCACCAAAAAGTCACTACACCCCAAGGGGCCACCACCAAGATCTGAGGCAACTTCCGCAGGATTGTTCTGCAGTGGACAATGGATAAGTGAAGGAGGGCGGGAGGAGGGCTGGGCAGGGGCTGAGTTAAGGGCTGGGAGCACTGTGGTAAGGCAGGGCAGGCAGGAAGGTGCCAGACTGTCCAGGGCCCTTCAGAGCCAGGCAGTTCCTACAGCACACAGCCACGGGGCTGCCCCAGCTGCCCATCAGACTGGAAACTGGCAAGACCTTTCCGGAGGGAAGCTTGGCAGATGCTTCAGAAGGCTCATGTGCAAGATTTGCTCTGAAGAAATAACCAGCAAATGGACCAAGATTCATGTACAAACATGCTCTTCACAGGATCACCATGGTCGAAATTGGAAATCATCTGAATGGTCAATACTTGGGTATTGGCAAAATAAATGAGTCCATTCCTGTGATGGAATATCATGTAGCTATGAGGCAGAAGAACCTATTCAGAACCAAAGGCTGGGCTCTGGGCCCACCCCTCAACAACTGGGGGCCCCAAGCAAGTCCTTTCACCTCTGAGTCTTGGTTTCTGCTCCTGTGAAATGGGGGTGATTGAACCAGCCTGACCCTGTTGTACTGTTGCCGGTGAGGCCGGAGCTTTGGATCCCAGGCCTCCACCCACCCTGCGCCCCTGCCCCCGGCCTCCAGGCCACTCACCAATCTCGCCTTCGTTGTTGAGGTCGAACTCCATGTATTTTTCTGAAAACGAGAAGCAACACCTGGCATTAGCCTGGAAGCAGCATCTCTCCCTGTGGGGTCCAGGGCCCCTGGAGGGGGCTGACTGGGTCCTGGAAAGCCCTCAATGCCCGCCTCAGCCATGGAGTCCTGTGGCCTCAGCCATGGTCTCTTCTGAAGATAGCTGTGCCTGCATCACCCCCACAAGATCTGGGAGGGAAGACAGCAGGGGGCCACTCTGACCCTGGTACTAAGAAGGCAGCTGCTTCCTCCTGGGTCCCCATGGGCCATCTGCATCTGAATCTGCTGCCAAGTGATTGGAACAGATTCTCTGTCCTGGAGACTTAAGTCCAAGGGTTAGGGCAAAGGCAGGAAGGGTGTTTCAGAGTGTCCCAGTGACCCAGAGATCCCCGGGTTCAGAAACCAACAGAAACGCCCTTGGGCGTGCAATAGCTCATAGTGGCAGACACTCCCTACAGACCTCACCTACAGACTCTGAATTAAAATTCCTGGGTCAAGGAGTCCTGGAACTCCAGCAGCAGGGTGGACGAGGCAAGGTGATGAGCTTGGCGTCTGCTGACAGGACAGTATGTCCATAAACCATGTGGCCTTGCATGGTCACCCTGCCTCAGCAGGAAAAGCTGCTACCTTCTGGGTGGCCTGCCAGTGCCCACCCCTCCACCCCAGCCCATGGCTTCCTGGCTCCCACCCACTCCCACCTGTTGTCCCAGGTAGTCCCAGGCCCATTCCTCATGTCTTTGGGGTCCCCCACCCCTGTTTCTGAATAGGCTCCTCCATCACCACTGAACACTCGTGTCCCTCCTCAGAGTACATTTTTCTCCAAAGTGCCTAGTGTGATCTGCTCCCCACTCTGCCCCACCATCCCATGGCACGGCAGTGTTCCCGCTGTGTTCCCAGGCCTGCAGTGGGCCTGTGCCATAGTGAGCGCCCACTTGGACAGCAAATAAGTGAATGATTCAAAGACCTTTCCAGTCGCTTGCTTTCCAACATGACTTCCTGTGGTCCCAGTCCTGCCCAACAGACCCAGTGCTACATCTCAAGGAAGACAAGTAGAGAGGACGTTAGACCCTGGGACCCTGTCTCTCCTCCCAGCAGACCTGCTGATGTCCAGAGAGGAGGGAATCGGCTGCCTGGGGCACAGGGGGTCTTTTTCCTGTTTCTCTTCCCCTACTCTTCCCCACCATTCTGGTGATTGAACCCCTCTTTATTTTTCATTTGAGCCAGGGTCTTGCTAAGTTGCTGAAGGCCTTGCTGAGTGGCTGAGGCTGGCCCAGAATTTGCAATGCTCCTGCCTCAGCCTCCAAAGTCACTGGAATTCCAGGTGTGTGCCACCAGGCCTTACCACCGTAAAAGGCATCATAGCAGGGGCTGGGGTGGTGGCTCAGCGGTAGAGCGCTCGCCTAGCGCGTGCGAGGCCCTAGTTTCGATCCACCACATAAAAATAAATCAAATAAAGGTACTGTGTCCAACTACAACTAAAAAAATTAAAATTAAAACATTAAAAAAAAAAAAAAGCACCATAGCATCCTGGTCCTGAGCAGCGGCTGACTCTGCCATAGTGAGCCTGGGACTGCCTGCCCACGACTCCACTCCATCTCCTCCTCGAGCCTGAGTTTCTTTGTTTTTTAAATTAACGACTGCACCAACTCCCTCCTAGGGGATGGGGTGACTTGGGGAGCTCACCATGCAGGCTGCTAGGGAACGGGCACCTGCCGGCTATTATGCATATCATTAGCCATCCAAGTCCTGCCGCAGAACAACTGAGCTAAGCGATTCGAGGCACACTTGGCAGGTCCTCTGCTTGGAGCAGGGGGGACGCTCACAATGCAGATGCTTGGGAGGGGGCTGCGTCCTCTGGGATTTTTACCAAGTGCCCTCTGTAGAGTCCAGCGCTCCAGTGCCCCCAGTGCTTCCCCGGGGCGAGGAAGGTGGGTCTGCCTGGCTCCTCGTATGCCAGCTCCTGTCCTTTCCAGCCGCGGGCTGGGAACCAAGCACCAGGGCCCCGAACAGAGGGACCTTTATGCTGCCCCTCTCCCCACGCGGGCTCCCAGGGCCTGTTTTCTTTTCATCTCGTGCTGCTGGGATTCAATGGGCAGAAACTCTGCCCCCCTGCCCCACTGTGGTGACACAAACGTCCATTCTCCACAGGGGCTCCTGAGACGCTCCACTGCTGAGGGGGAGAGGCAAGGACGGCTCACAAAGAGCGGATTGTGTGCTGGGCCCCGGGAGAGAGCGGGGCTGGACAGGGCGGGCAGGAGCCAACCTGAGTCCTGCTGGGCGGCCCGGAAAGAGGGGCAGGGCCTGCAGGCAAGGGGCCCACGGTGGCAGGGAGATGGGCCTGCTTCAATCCTCAGGGGACCCCTGCCTCGAAGCCTGCCAGGAAGAGGACCATTCTGGATGAACCGGTCACAGGCCAGTCCTGTGAGGTTGAGGAGTCCCGTGTGCCAGGGGCCCAAGGGCCAGCCCAGCTCTCCCCAGAATGACAGGGCAGCCAGCCCTAGCTCACCTTTGAAGGCCGAGAGCTTTTCTGGCAGGTTCTCTTCATCACTGTACTTCTGGTCACAGAGGAACTCCTACCGAGGCAAGAACAGAGCTGAGCAAGGGTTTGGGGACAGAAGTCGCTGGCACATGGCCCCAGAGCCTGGCTGCCTTCCCTCCTGCTGGGCGGCCAGGCATGACCAGGCAGGGCTCGTCCTGTTGGCCCTGGTTTCCTGTCAGCCCCCAGAGGCGAATCCCCACATTCTACCCTGGGGTGGAATTTTGCTCAGCAGCTTGGGGAGGCACCTGGAGGGTCTGCTCTATAAACCTGCCCAGCTTTGGCAGGGGGCCTGTGCCACGGACCCCTGCCCAGTCCCCGACTCCAGGATCCAGGAAGCCGAAGGCCCCAGCCATGCGCCTGGGTCCATCCCTGATTCCATAGGTATGGGATCCCAGCAATCAACTGCCCCTGCACCTCTCTTGCCTTAGCCACCAGCTGGGGGTAACCAGAGACTTCTGCTGGGTCTATGTGATTCTCCTATCAATCAGCGTATCACATTAGTATCTTCCCTGGCCAGAAAATGACTGCCACAGCTCTGGAGTCCATTCCCCTCTCACCTGCTTTGTCATCTGTAAAACTGAGGTTTTAATCTCTAGTCTGCTGCCCCTCAGATGCTGGGAGAGGCTCAAATCAGCGAGAAGTGGCGAGAACCTGCATCACTAGAAGGCAGTCCAGGTTCCGATCACTAGTGGGAAACGGCACGGCTGCATTCACCTCCCTAGGGACCACTCCTGGGAGAACCACACCAACGTTCAGTAAGAGCAGGTTTGATTGTGAGTGTGAGGCAGAATATGGCCTCTCTGTGGCTCCTCCACCTCAGCTCAGGGCCCTTCAAGGGGAGAAACCCACCCAGCACATGGCTCCCTCCGGGGGTTGAGGGAGGGGTCTGGCTGCCCTCTAGCATTTGCTAAGACTTTGACTGTGGCCAGCACTGTGTCAGCTCAGTAGGTCTTCCCAGACACTCTGTTCTGATTTTACAAGTTAACACGACTCAAGTCCCCAGATAGCCAAGGAGGCCCGGGGCTGGACTGGAACCTGGGTCTGCCAGTCTGCAGCTAGACTGAGAGCAGCCCGGGGCCCACAGGGTCTAGCTGGCTTGGTCAACCCTCACTGGGGCCTCACTGCCATCACTGGTCCTGCCTCTACTTAGCTGGACTGGGTCCTTCTTTCCCTGCAACCCGGAAACTGCCCCACTCGGGGTTGGTTTTGTCGAGGACTCCCCTTGATCCTGACTCCCTCCCTGCTCTCCTCCACTGCTTCCCTACCCCATTCTCAGACCAAAAGTTGGAAAATTCACCGTTGTCTGTGACCTGGGAGGACAAACCATGACCCTCCCAGGGTCCCAGATCCCTCATCTGTCCAGTGAGAGCCAGCTGAGGTCGGAGGTGCCCAGACCTGAGGGAGCAGTCAGGAGCTCAAGGGGTACAGGAACAGGGGGCTGCCAAGTTTGCATTTTGCCAATAAAGGCTTTTCTGTGCCTCCTGTGTGCCAATCTCTGAATTTTAACAGGGGATCCATTCAGCCGAGGCCCAGCTCACTACACTACCCTGCCTTCCCCTCACTTTATCAAGAACTGGAACTTTGTTGGGAGGAGGCCCGAGAACACAGGCAGGCCCAGCATCCGGGAGCCTCTGCAGGCCTCTCGGCTCCCATGCTCTGGCTGACAATCCTGCCCCAGCCCCAGCCCATAGGTACCAACCACCCCAGGATCTGGGTCTACCTGGCCCCCCTGCAGGCTGTGGGCTCAGGAGAGAGACACAGTTCCTGGTCTTAGAGACAAATCCTGCACACGGACAGACCAGAACAACAAGGCAGCAGCGAGCGGAGAGCAAGGCCAGAGCAAGCACAAACTACAGACGCAGCTAAGAATGGCTTCTGTTCACTGGCCCCAGGGGCCAGGCTCTCAGCAGGCAGAGCCGCTGGGCACGTGGACATGGATGATCACCTTTACACCAAGAGAGGGCTTTCTCCTCAGCACAGGGCACCATCTGACACACTGTTTAATTTGAGAACCCCCTTCCTGCCCTCCACCACTAGTAAGGGACCTAACCACCCTGGCCTCTTTTCTGTGCCTCCTGTGTGCCAAGCTCACTCTCAGCTCAGGACCTTTGCCCCCCACATCTACGCATGATTCTCTCCATCACCTCTTTCAAGACTTTGGCTGATATCACCTCTATGAGGCCATCGCCCCCACCCCCCATTTATGCTGTCCACTGCAGGCTGTCCCTGCTTCTAATCCACCTTGCCGTGCTCTATGTGGGATGAGCTGCCCCTGGCACGGTTTCCACTGGCATTGCTTGGTATGGCTACTGTCCACTGTGTCCCCTGCTAGGACGCAGGATCCACATATAGATGCTCAATAAACATTTCCAGGATGAGCAAACGAATTGGGACTCAGAGAAGATAAATAACTTGTGCTGCACAGCAAGGGGCCAAGCTGGAATAAACTCCACAGGGGGTGCTGCCTGGGCTCCAGCCTGTGCACAGCTGAGGATTGGAAGCCTTCCAGGAAGTGGACACTGGCAGGAGGCAGGTCTTCAGCCTCAGGTCCCAGGAGGACATGTTTCTTGTACTGGGATCCCCCGGTGCCCAGCACTCAGCAATGCCCAGCATAGAGCAGGCACTCGATAGCATCTGCTGAAGGATGGCAAAGATGCCATCGGCCTACAGTTACTTCCTCCCCTCTCCCCCCTGAAACCACCAGACTGTTTTGCAAAAGTGTGTGCGTGTGTGACAGAGGTGGGAAGGGACTCAGGGAACAGTCTCGTGTCTTTCCTCACAGCCAACAATGACAAATGCTAGGACCACAGAGTGGCCAGGGCAGGGGAGGCAGCTGACCGGTTCATGAGTGGGTGGGCAGCCTTCCTGCCCGAGTGTAGGGCAGCTGTGCCCTGGCAGGGGGTGGGGGAGGCAGGCTGGGGGCAGGACACAGCTCCCACCCGCTCCAGACTTGCAGTTCCTGCCCACACTCAGCCCAGCTTCTCCCTGCAGCTACCCTCCCTCCACATCCCTGCTGGGCCTTGGGCACAGCCCTGCCCAGGGAGCAGGCACCCTCTCTATTCAGGACCCACCTTGGCCGCTCTGACCCTGGGCCTATGGGCAGAGGAGAGACTGAAGTCACCCCAGATATTTGGAAGAAAAGCAAAAAATCATAAAGAAGGCAGACTTAGAGCCAGAAAGCCCGAGTCGGAATCCACTTGGTAGTTTTGTGGAAATCACTTCATTTATCTGTCTCCGTTTCCTTGTCTAAGGAATTTAAAAAAGCTCATATCTAAGGCTGGGGTTGTGCTCAGTGGTAGAGCGCTCGTCTAGCATGCATGAGGCACTGGGTTTGATCCTCAGCAGCCCATAAATGCAAAATAAAGATATTGTGTCCACCTAAAAAAAAAAAAAAGCTCATATCTACCATCCAGGCCTTTCCCAAGAACTACAGCATGCAGGTTAAGTATGTGTAAAGTGCTAGATTCGACACTTGGCACTTAAGACATGCTAAATAACTGTTAGGTCCTTATTATTACTGATTTCTAACATTTCTGTCTGGACAATGAGGTTCCCCTCCCCACAGCCCACCATTAGTTATCAGACCGATGTTCCCTGGATCAGGCTGGTTGTGAGTTCTCACTCCCACTGTCTATGCACCCATCTGACAGATGGGACAGCAGAGGTTCAGTGAGGTAGCTCAACTTGTTCAAGAGGACACAGGGTCTGTCTCATTCCACTGTCCCCGCTTCAAATAAGGAGGAGGGAGCCTGGCCACAGGTTTCTAGGCAAAGCCAATCCTGCAGGCAGCTTTACTCAGGACAGCTGCAGCCGGTTATTCCGGAGGGCACAGCCTGTAGCAGTGCTATGCCAGTCTCCTCCCAACTCCTCCCCGCATCCAAACTACGGAAATGCAAGCAGGTGGGAGCATGAGGGGGCAGCACAGGAAGCAATAAGCCCACCTGTCAGTGCTCAAGGGCCGGCGTGCCCCACAGGTGCAAACAGGAAGGCAGCAGAGAATGAAAACATCTGCCCAGGCACTGACCCCAGAGGGCCTCCTCAGAGCACCCCGTTGCTCTCCTTGTTCAACAGATGGGGACAGCAAGCCCCAGAAAGGAGGCGGTCTTGCCTAAAGTCACAATGCCGGGAAGCCCCATGTAGATAAACTCTGGGCACAGGATGTGTGGGCAGAGGGATGGGGGGGTTGGATCAGTTGCCCTGGTGCCAATCCTGGCTCCAGCATTTAGTAGTTCTGTGACCCTGGGCAACTTGCTCTACCACTCTGGGCCTCAGTGTCTTCACCTGCAGTGCAACACAATGAAGGACCTCCTTATGAGCTGCTGCAAGGATTAGGTGAGCTCTCTGCATTGGAAGAGCCCGGTCCCAACACTTAGGAAGAGCCGGTCATGACCACCATGCATTGGGATCATCCAAACTCAAGCCGTCCCAAGAGACCAGTCACACAGAGAAAGCACCCACCCACTGCTCTCTCTGCCTGGACGTGCCGGGAAGTCCTCCTGACATTCTGTCATGGAGGGCAGGCTTCACTTCATCCTCAGGCTCCTGACTGACCTTCCAGTGCCAGCCATCCACAGGGGACAGAGTGCTGGCTTCCATTGCAGCCCCAGGGAACAGTCCCCCAGTCTTATGGGCTCCCTGCTGCCTGCTCGGTCATCCACAGTCTCTGATGCCCATGGGTGCACCCCACCTACCCCAGAGCCCTGTCCAGGTGCTCAGGCCCAGGATGGGCCAATTCCAAAACCACTGGAGGCTGGCGGCCCCTGCTCGCCTTGGAACCCTGCCACCTGCCCACAGCTCCCTGACTTAACCCCCTTCTGGGGCTGGTACCTCTAGCACCTTCTCGCAGACCCTTGCTCCCGGCCCTGCAGGCCTGTCTTTATGTATTAGCCGCAGCAGAATTTTAGGGTGGGCAGATACCACCATCTTGGAGGCCATCCAAGGGGCTGGCAGCTGACGCCCTGGGCAGGAACCACAAGGAGAGGCAGCCCCATTCCAAGGCCAGGAGGCCTCCAACGCAGTCCACAGGCTCTTAAAGGGCCAGGGCCAGGCCACAAATGCCCGCCAGGTCACCTGGCAAATAGCAGGAGCCTGTAATGTGCACCCACAAGGACAGCAGGCTCATATTCCACAGGGCTTGGGGCCTCATCCGGACACTGTGTCCTCGCCAATAGATGGGGAGCTCAAGAAAAACACCCCAGCAACCACATAAATGAAGCAAACCCTGCAGAAATTCCATCTCCAGCTGACTGTGACATGGCCACAGCGAGGTCACAACTGACCGGACCTGCCGGGGACACTAAATCCCCAGAGGCTCACGTGGCTACTTATCACCATCTCCCTTATAATATATTAAGGGAGAGCAAGAGAAAGGGTACCCAGCAATGCCAACTGGGCACATTCACCTAGGCAGGGAGAGAGTGGTACAGGAAAAGAGACGCACCTGTGTATCTACCTGGGTCAGGTCTCAGAGGTCATATATGTCCCAGAGGGGCCAAGGGCACGTCCACCCTGGGCAGAGATTCCCAGCAAGCCCTGCCAGCTCCCTTCCAGTGAAGATGGCACCACTGGACCTCTAAATGTGACAAGAGATGCTGAGTGCCCTCCATCTGACCCTGGAGGGCTGGGACTTCAGGATAGTAGCCAAAGATCCTTATCCACATAAACAAGAAGCCTGTGTCACCATCAGACTGCAGCCACCTGGTGGACAGGGGCCAGGGCATCTGGAGTCACACAGACCTGCCCCTGCCACTTCCTGGCTGGTGACCTTGGGCAGCGGACTTCATCGGGCTGAGTCTCTGAACCTCGAGTCACGGTGATCCTCACCCCGCGGGATGTTTCGAGATCCACACTGACAGCCTCTGACAGCCTCTGACAGCGGATGGGGCGCTCTGCTGAAGGGGGTCCGTGAGATGACACATGACAAGCCAGGTCAGGGACACAGCTCACACTGTAGTAGTAAAGGATCCTGGCTGCCCGCTGGCCAACTCGAGAGCAGCCCTACTATCCTCCCGGCTCCTCCTGCTCCCCCCAGGCACAGGCCACCCAGACCCACTGCTGGAGAAAGTTGCTCCCTTTGCCATCTAAGGCCGGGCCTTGCTGGCCTGGGGTCACCTACATTCCACCAGGAGACGGGGAATGCCAGCTATGTGGCAGGAGTAGGAGGTGCCCTCTGAGCCTGCCCCTCCAGCGGTACTAATGTGCACATGCACAAGCGCACACAGGACAGGGGCGGGAGTGGACACCCACAGAGGAGCCAGTCCAGAGTGGAGCCTGAGCCAAAGGTCTGGGTTCAAGCTGTGGCTGTTTCAACCCAGGCCATCTACTCAACCCCTCTCAGCCTTGTTTCCTGTAAAATGGGAAGAACAGCAGCCATCGTAGGGCAAAAGTGACGTTTGCTGAGATTGTGCCCACAGCATGCCTGGTACAGCACTGGCACCTTCCAATTGCCCTGGAGACACTGGCAGAAACTAAAGTGAAACCAAATAAAGCAAAATACGTATGGCCCCCGTCTCCCTATGCACACCCAGATCTTCTTCCACTTTGACTTTTAAAATCTCTTAGAATAAAAATTGCTAAGACTGGGTCTTCTAGAAGCTGCCCACACCAGGGAAGGAGAAAGGCCCCAAAGGAAACAAGTGTGTTGGCCCAGAGAGGCCCTTCAGAGCTGCCAGCCCAGGGGAGTTCTGCCCCAAGCAGCAGCCAACTGGTGCCCAAGCTGTTGGGGACAGCAGCAGGTCATACAACCCCCAAGCAGTGAGCCATGACACCCTGACTTGCACGGTTTCCAGCCTCCACAGGGCCACTGGGCTCTGCTCCACCCACCCCCAGAAACCTCTCTAGCACAGTGAAACTGCACCCAAAGGAAGGCTGTCCAGGCTGCCGATTTGGTTCTCTCTAGAATATTCTACTCCAGGATCTTTCACTGAGACCACAGTGTTGGGTGAATCAGACTCAGACCTTCAAGCAGAACAACTCTCAGGATCTAGTCATCTCCACTGATTTTATTTTATTTTATTTTATTTTTGGTACCAGGAGTTGAACCCTGGGCACTTAGCCACTGAGCCATAGCCCTTTTTTATATTTTATTTAGAGACAGGCCTCACTGAGTTGCTTAGAGCCTCACTAAATTGCTGAGGCTGGCTTTGAACTTGCAATCCTCCTGCCTCAGCCTCCTGAGCCACTGGCGTCACTTACAGGTGATAACGGGCATCTCCACTGATTAATGCAGAGGCACTGGAAGGGGCAGGGCCCGCTGCTCCCACTGCAGCCAGGAGAAGCAGCCAGGATGGGCAGTTCAGTATCTCAGGAATATCCCAGGTTTCCACTCCCTAAACCCTGAGGCCCCAAACAGAAGACAACAATCCTGACAGTTGTCTGACCTCCCACCCGCACTCTGCACTCTACACAGATTATCTCCCTGAAAAATCACAACCACCATTATCTTCTTGGCAAAGGAGACCCAGAGCGGTGAGGTGGCTTGCCCAAGGTCATGGGACCAGTGTTTGGTAACTTCCTCATGACTCTAAACTAGCGTGGCCACCTTGACCTGCTGTGGTCTGGAAACAGCTCAAGGTTCCAGTTGGATCCTGAAGCTTCCTTCAACTAGGAGCCCACACCCTGAGTCACAGCCTGGACTCACATAATGGGTCTTGGGACAGCATCTAGGCAGGGACAGGGCACGAGACTGTGAGCCCTACTGCTGGCTCCTGTGTGTCCTGGAGTTAGCTGCCTGCCCTCTCTGGGCATTAAGGCCCTGAGATGGTTAGAACACAGCCCTTTCTTGCTCACTTTCTCCAGTCCCAGTGCTGTCCAAATCAGTCCCTGATAGCACAACCCTTCCTCTTTCTGAGCCAAGCCGGTCCCTTTCCTGAAACAACCCCATCCCAGGCACCCTTACCTGCATCCACAGTATGGAGTGGGCACAGAAAGTCCCATGCACTCAGCTCCTTGGCCATCCAAATGCAGTCACCTAACCCCCATCCCCACCCCCACTCCTGCAGCTGCCTCTGGCTCAGGGTCCTGCTGGCTGTGGGTGGATCCAGCCAGCTCAGAACCCCACCCAGCCAAGAGGCCCAGGGGGCTGTATGAGGTCAGGGTCCCAGGCTCCTGTCCAGAGGGTTAGAGTAGCCAAGACCGAGGTCAGCCTGGTGCAGAACAAGCTGGGAGGGAGCCCGGCAGGCCAGGACCCCTGAGCCTCAGCCTGATGTCCAGACCATCTTTCAGCTAAGATCCACATGGTACGAACCCTGAGGTGCCCAGAGCCCTCCAGAGAACCCCACAGCTCAGTGGATGACAAGAGACAGGCCGCCTACTTCAAGGCCATCCAAGAAAAACTAGGAGGAAATCAAGATCAAGATGCTGGCAAGAGGAAATCCTTTACCCAGCTCCAGCCCCTGAGCCCACCTCTCCACAGCCTCCACCGGGGCTCTGCTGACTCCACCAGCTTCCACCTAGGACCCTAAGCTCGGCTCAGGCGCTAGACACCCCGTGCCCAAAAGAGCCAGCAGGAGGAATGCCAGGCTTGTTTCAGTGCGTACAACTCTGCCCTCAGTTAGGAAGCAGCCTGGGAGACGCCTTCCTCAGCAAATACCTCTAGTACCCTCCCGGGTACCTCCCCAGTGCCAGTGCTGGCTCATGCAGGCTGCACACCTGCCCTCACTGAGTTCTCACAGTGACCCTGCCCCCAGGTGACAGGCCCTTGAAGACCGCCAAGCTGGTACATGTCCGAGGCCAGGTCTTGCAGGCCCCTGGAGTGCGCTGCTGTGGTGCCTCTGACCTTGACCAACCCAAGCAGTCCCTGACAACCTTTCCTCATCTCCTAGGATCCACACGATCATTAACCAAACTTATGTAGAGCTCCTGTTGTGTGCCCGGCGGCAGCTGGAAGGATTTCTTTATAGAAATTCACCAAAACCATCAAGAAAAGCAAGTAGTCCCCACAGTAACCTTTCCTACAAGTTGGAAAGAAGCTGTGTGTTGGGGCAGAGTGGTAAGAAGGAGGCCACAGGGAACCGCCAACATTTGACTGAACCAAGAGCCTATGTTGTGTGGTGGAGAGCCTTGGCCTGGGAGTCCCTTCTGGCGCCAAAACCCTGCGCGGGTCCCTAGCGGGCTTGCAGGGAGCCCACATCCAGGCTGGCAGCAGCTCCTGGAAGGGCCCCACCGCCCTAGCCAGGGTAACAGCTTGCAACCCGAGACGCCAGGCCCCGAGCAGGGAGGTGGAGCGGACCTACCTGGAGTCGGAGGCGAAAGGGCTGGGGCCAGAGCGGCAACCGAGGGAAGCCCCGGGGAAGGGGGGGAGAGGGTAGATTTTGCGGCGGACACTGCCTGGCTGAAGGCGGCACCGCAGGGCAGTGGGAACCGCCAGGGCCGGAGGCGCGCAGCTGGGGCGACCCGCGCGCTGCCCTGGGCCGCGGCTTACCCGGTTGATCTCCGCCAGCCTCCTCTCCTGCCGGGCTTTGAGCAAGCCGAACGCCTTTCCTCCTAGAGGAGACAAAGAAGCGGCCGGGTAGCGGGGCTCCCGGGCCACGCGTCCCCTCCCGCGCCGGGTTTCCGCGCGCCGCGCGCCCCGCGGTCTGCCCTGCGCGCACAGGTGGGGACGCTGCGCACGGGATGGCTGGGGGACACGGCGCCTACCTTGGAACCTGTTGCTGAGCGCGACCGACATGATGAGCGCCGCGCTCCCGCCGGCTCGGGGCTTGGCGGCCACCGCGGGGGACGAGGAGGAGAGACTGGCGCCTGGTCCGAGCTTCGGCGGCTGGTGGTGGCGGGAGCGAGGGGCGGAGGAACCGCGCGGCGGCCGGACACACCCCTCCCTCGGCCAGGGCCCCGCGTCCCCTCCCCTTCCCTCTCCTTATCCCCTCCCCTCCGCTCCCCTGGTCCCCTCCCCTCTCTTCGTCCCCTCCCCTCCACTCCCGGGCCGCGGGCATCAAAGCGGCTATTATGCTGGCGGGGAAGCCCGCCGCCCGCCCCTCTGCTGAAGGACCGGGACAATGCAGTGCGCGGACCGCGCTCAACCAACCCCTCCCTCCCCACCCCTGCCTGGACCTTCAAGGCGAGTCCACCTGGCGATCTGGGTACACACTTCGTGGGACCAGGACCCGAATGAGCATCAAGCGCGGTCGCGAGGCACGGATTACCCGCTCAGCCAATGAAGGCTGTCGCATTACTGAAGCTGTTTGCGCAGTAGTGCCACTGTGACACCAAGGCCCTTTAAGTCAATTAGATGAATTTGTGTCTTGTTAATAGAACTGTCTTAGGCTCCCTCCCACTGTGTGCCAGGCGCTCGGCATAGCACACCAATCATTGCAGCACTCTCAAAGTTCTGTGAAATAGGACCTGGCATGCCCATTTTACGGAAGAGTAGGGAAGCCCAAGCCTGGGAAGGCACCCATAAAGTAGCCAAAAAATCCAGAGAGGAGGACTCAGGATGCAAGACCTGGGGACTGGGGCTGGGGTGGTGGCTCAGTGGTAGAGCCCTGGGTCCAATCCTCAGCACCACATACATGTAAAATAAAGATCTTGTTTCCACCTAAAACTTAAAAGAACTGGGGACTTTGTAACTAGAGTGGCCATGAAGTCTAGTGTCCAAACCAGAACAGTTTGAGAGTGGAAGGGCCAGTCCTAATCATTATGCTGGGGACACTGGCATGGACAGGCACTACCTACCTGGTCCAAGGAAGACTCCATCAGCACATGATTGGATCAGGGAATCTCCTTCCCCACAGACTTTGTCTCCACCAGAACACTTAGAATGGGGATCCTGGGGGCTGGGGTTGTGGCTCAGTAGTGGAGTCCCGCCTCACATATGTGAAGCCCTGGTTCGATCCTCAGCACCACATAAAAAAAAGAAAGAAAGAAAGGTGTCGTGTCTATCTACAATTTAAAAAATAAGTAGACAAAAAGAATTGGGATCCTGGGACCAGCCGATCATCTTTTTTTTTTTTTTCCTGACTGCCAGTGGAGAGAGTAATGGCCAGGCTGTCCCCAGAGTGGGGCTAGGCAGAATGGCATGTGGCCAAAGTCAGCTCAGTCATTCGAGGACCAGTCCCCAGCTCCCCAGCACGGCCAGCTCCAGTTTCTCCTGGTTACTCTCTGTCCATTCACTCCTAGATTTTGGATTTGGACCACCTGTATGGCCATGGTCAAGGGACTTGATCTGCCTGAGCCTCAATCCTCTCTTCAGAGTGGGGAAAACAAGAGCATGTCACTAGGTGGGGGCTGTTAAAACTTTTTCTCGATGGTTCGAGCAGAGCATAAAAGCCTGGAGAGAAGCAGGACTTGGGAGTTATACCCTGGCAGATGGGAGAATGTCTACCCGGAGGCCAAGGAAGGGAGTGGACTTTGAACAGGGTCTTCATAAATGCAGCTCCTGATCCAGGCTCACAAAGCCTGGCACCCTGGCTAGTTGGGCTGGTTGACCTGGCTCAGCCATCCGGTGGGACAGAAGCCACCCCACTGCTCAGCTGCATTGCTAGCCAGATGTTCAGCAGCTGCCACATTCCACCCAGCAGTGAGCAGCCCCACCTCTGAGGCCAGAGAGTGGCTCTGCATACATCAAGCATGATCAGTCACGCGAGTCATAAGCTGTCAGGCCCGCAGTTCATCACCTTGGATGGAGAGGAAGCCTGTTCTCCACCCACCAGGATGCTGGGACTGGATTTTGTTGAGCCCATGCCTTGTCAAGAGAGGCATCAGAAGGTCTGTCAACAGGGAAGCTGTGGGTGTGGACCGGAGGGACTTCAGACCCTGTCCCAGAGGTCTTTGAAGAACCCCTATCTCCTCAGCCTTGCTCACATCAGACCCCTATTACCAAATTCCCAGTGGAGCAACCGCCTCCCTCCCAGCCTGGAAATGTACACTCCCAAGCTCAGCTTAGTAGTGCTGACCACATTAACCTTGCCTTGATTTTAAGGATCTCTGTGGAGGAGTGCACCCTCCTCTACATGCCATCCCTGACCAGTTGTTGGGCCATCTTTCATTGTGTGGATTTGAACCGAGTTAGGATCCTCATTATCCTGAATGGGGAGGAGGGTTCTGAATCCAGCTGGGTGGATCCCTCCCGGGAAGCTGGAGCCAGGACAGGTGTCCACCTCAGTATCTTTTGCAAGGATTTGACCTGATGTCATGCAAACCCAGAGCCCTGGGGTGGGGTTGTCCTCTGCCATCAAGTACAAGAAGAGCTAAGAAAGTTGATCTGCAAAAGGGAAAGACCTGAGCTAATAAGAGAGAGAGAGAGAGAGAGAGAGAGAGAGAGAGAGAGAGAGAGAAGCAGAGGCCGAGACCAAGAGAGGAGGTGGGGAGAGTAGGAGCAAGACCTCCCAACCACGCAGGCTCATTCAGGCTGCCCCCAAGGCAGGGCAGCCTTTCCCACCCCAGGGTTCCAAGAGGTCCTTCCAACAGACTCTCCTTTTCTGCCTAAACCAATTCAGGAAGCGCTGTGGGCTTGTGGCGGGGAACCCTGATGGAGTGTGCTCTACCACCCCATCCTCCACCGGGGTTTCCAGAGGGACCCATGCTGGCCAGGCCCACTCCAACCCCAGACTGCTGCCTGGTCCAGAATGCCCCTCCCTGCCCCCGTGTCCTCACTAGCCTCCCTCCCTACTCCTTGCTGTGGGACTCAGTTGTTGTCGTTTACAGTACTGGGGACGGAACTCGAGGTGCTCTACCACTGAGCTGCACCCCCAGCCCTTTTTAGTTTTCTTTTTTGGGACAGGGTCTCCCTAATTGCTCAGGTCAGCCACAAACTTATTTATTTTTTTTTTTTTAAATATTTATTTTTTAGTTCTCGGCGGACACAACATCTTTGTTTGTATGTGGTGCTGAGGATCGAACCCGGGCCGCACGCATGCCAGGCGAGCGCGCTACCGCTTGAGCCACATCCCCAGCCCCACAAACTTATTTTATTTTAATTTTTTTTCATACTGGGGATTGAACCCAGGAATGCTTTACCACCGAGCGAAGTCCCTAGCCCTTTTTCATTTTGAGATAGGGTCTAAGTGGCTGAGACTGGCCTTGAGCTGTGATCAGCCTGTGTCAGCCTCTGAGTGGCTGAGATCACAGGTGTGTGCCTCTACACCCAGCAGGACACTATTTTGAGATCACTATTTCCTGCCTCAGTGTCTCCACCTAAACCAAAGGTCCACGGAGGGCCTCTCTATCCATCTCTCAAGCTCCCCCAGCCCCTGGACTTTGCCTGACAAGTCCCCCCGCCCCCGAGCCAAGAGGAAAGTGGTGCCGTGGTGCCGGGACCTCAGCAAGGCTCCCTGTGGGAAGAGCTCCACTGTGTGTGGACAGGAGGGGTCGGCACACGTCCATTCCACCTGCTCGCTGGGCATCTACAGAGGCACTGCCACACGTGTACCCACAGCTCGGCCTGGCTACCCACCAGCAGTAAAGGATCAAAACACATGTCACCAGCTGGGGAAAGGGTCCTTTATTTCCTCATAAATAGGTCCACGTTGCCACACGTTTCCCTTGACAGGGTGAGGGGCACGGGAAGCAGAGGGAGGAGGGCACAAGTCACCACTGTGCCAAGGCCCTGCTGACCTCTGGAAGAGGGCCCAGGAGAGGGCAGAGGAATGCCAGGAGGAAATGCCGGGAGGCCAGAGGCCCCAGGGCCTGGCCACAGGAGGACTCCCAGGCAGGACAGACTGGAATGGCAGCCAGGGTTCCACACCCGCAGGTGGTAGACAGAGCTGCAGGGCCAGTTTAGGAAGTGTCAATCAAAGTTAACCCGGTCAGCAGGGACACAAAGGGGTGTTCCCAGTGGCCTAAGGCCCCATGATCCAGGTCCCATTGGACCCTTGAGGGCCTGGCTTTCTGGACAGATCACAGGCTGAAAGGGGACCAGGGCCCAGGATACCTGCAGCTGAGTCTGGGGCAGACCCAGACCCTGGAAGGGAAGTGTCCAGAAAGACAAGGATGTCCCTGTCAGCAGTGGGACTTGTCCTGCTGGATTAGCAGACCGTGCTGTGGCCTCAGGGGACCCTGGGCCTTGGGTCTAGCTCGTTGCAGTCCCTCTCATCTTCCCAGGTGCCAGTACTACTTGGGCCCCTGCTCTCTGGAGCTTGGAAGCCTTAGCACTGCAGGAAATTTGCACAAGCTGCCCCGACCTGCAGAGGGCGCCCACACAAGGCGGCTCTCACCGCAACAGAGGACTGACTGTCCTGTGTGCACGCAGCGTGATCGGGCACCAGGAGACTAAATGCGTGTGTGTCTTACACAAATGTGCAGGGAAGATGTCCCAGCAGGGCCTTACACACAGGGCCACTTGTGAATGGGTCCTCACTACTTCCAGGAAGAGGAAGACCCAAACCCACCAGGGAGGGAGGATGGTATTCACATGGGGCACACGGCCCCCTGTTTTGGTGGTACGCCTGTGTGGGCACACCTGTGGAGGGGTGTGTGTGCCCAAGCCAGCAAACAGGAGGTGGGGAGTGTGTGCTGGGACCTAGGGGCCTCACTGCCAACTGGCACAGTGTTCGGGCAGGCTGTGCAGAATGGCCTCCAAGTTCTGCTTGTCCGCGCGGATCTCAGCGAGGTCGTTCTCGAAGCCCTGAATCTGCAGCTCCTGCTGCTCCGACTCCTGCTCCAGCAGCCTCAGTTTCCGCTGCAGGGCTCCCCGTGAGCCTAGCTGTCGTCTCAGACCTTCCAGTGCCCACTGGGTCTCATTCAGGGCCCGGGATGGGGCCTGATGGGCATCCAGTGACCCTGCAGAGAGGCACAGACACCCTCAGCAGGAGCCAGC